ACAGAAAGAGGCCTGTCTTCTTCCTTACTTGCTTGCTTTTGCTGTCTTCTGCTCTCCATGAACTAGTTCTCCTCTGCAGTGCCCTTCTGCCAAGCCACCCTGCCTTAGAGCCGGCTGAAACCTCTACAAACTGTGAGCTAAGTAAACCTTTTCCCCTTTAATTTTGAGTGTTTGGTATTTTGTCTCACTAAGAGAAAAGTAACTAAGACACGGCTCAAAACAGACAGCCAGACTGTGAGTCAGGGCTTTAGTTTGTTTTTACAACAGCCTGCTCAAGGTTCTCACAAAGCTACCATCATCCCTTCTGAGGCAGCTCCCCAGTGACCTAAGGACCTCCTGCTAAGCCCAACACAGTAGTGACCAAGGTCTCAGCACATAAAGCTTTGAGGGCAACCTGAAACCATCCTCAAACCATATTACAAGGTATGGTGGAGAAGTCAGCTTTCCTTTAGGGCTGACATACTGAAGACTACAGTGAAACTAACTGAAGCTGACAGGTGATGGCTGAGTTTTAGCTCCATGGTGGGGTGTATGCTGGGCATATGCAGAGCCTTGGGTTTGATCTTCAGCACCAAGGGAAATCAGCCTTGACAGTTAATTACTTACTATACACACTAGTAAATATCTGACTGAATCCAGTTCATTCATACCCAAAGAAAATTGGTCCTGAGTGTTCTGTACTTGAGCAGTTGGTAAAGAAAACAGATGGTAGAAATTACTGACCCAGGTTATATTAGTCCAGAGAAACTTATAGAAAACTGTTCAGTGGATTTGAAAGAGAAGGCAAGATTTGTGGTAGGAAAAAAAAATGTGTTGGGAGGATAGTATTTGAGGAGAAAAATACATGTACAGTTTGGGAATGATAAATAATAGCAACAAATCATATTTTAAAAACTTGCTTTAAGAAACCTAAAAAACCCCCCAAATTTTTACATGATGTCTTAGTTACTTTTTTCTCATTGCCGAGACTAAAATATCCAACTCCTAAAATTAAAGGAGAAAAGATTTATTCCAGCTTGCAATTATAGAAATTTCAGTCCAAAGCTGGCTGGCTCCAAGTTGGGGAAGTATGGCACAGGGGCATCACAGAGGATTAAGAGTCCATGGCTTGGCAGGCAGAAGCAGCAAGCTACAAGCAACAAGCAACAAATGACCCCTTTCTGTCCCTTATGTCTTATCCAGACTTCCCACCCTTAGAGTGGGCAGCACTCACACTCAGGGTGGGACACCCTCAACCCTAGCATTACACCATGGACCAACCCAAGCACCACATTCTTGATCCCAGCATCACACACTAGATCCAGCTGCCTTGGAAAAGCCCCACTTCATGAGGCTTTAGGGGGACATCTAGCTACAGGCTGTAACACATGGTAACCTGTGTCAGTGGATACTTCTCTCTGGATACTTACAGACGTACTCCACATGAAATTGTGAACCTGCCTCTCCTCTGTATGATTGGCCCCAGAGAGAATTCGCTACACTTGCTTTCTGCATAGTACTATGCTCTACCTTCCCAGAGATAATGAAATGTGGAGCCTATAAACATGTGAATAGTTTACTGAACTGTATGAGATTTAGTTTCCTTTTTTTTTTTTTTAAAGAACATCTCGCTGTGCCTCCAGTTTTTACCTATGGTATGAATTCAGTATAGGAAGAGATGGTAAGAGTGTCAGTCAAAGGGATTAAATAAAATTACACGGGTCTGGGTCAGTTGCACCGTAAATTATTATTTGACTTTGTGCCTATCCTGAGTTCCTCACATAGGGCCTATTTAAGTAGAACACAGTTGTTATGGTTTGGACCTGGTTTGCCCCTCAAGATTTCATGTGTTGCAAGTTTGGTCCCCTATGTGGCAGTGTTGGGAGGTGAGGTGGAACTTTTAAGAGGCAGGGCCTTAAGTCACTGAGGGACCTGATCTCCAGCAGGATTAAAGGAGCTCTACTGCATGAGGCGGGAGAAGTTGTCATAAGGGCGAGCCCAGCCCTGAATTGTCTGCTGGCTTCCTGTTTCGAGTGTGATCTCTTTATCCCCGACACACCCCTGCCGTTGTGACTCCATCCTCAGCGAAGCCCCCACCAGAGGCAGAACCGAGAGTGGGGCCACCAGACTTGGACTCTGGACAACTAAATAGTACATCTCTCCATACAAGTAGACTGCCACAGATGTTTCCTTATTCATACAGCACTTATTAAGACTTCTCGAATTGGCCAGGGATTTAGCTCAGTGACGCCATACCTGCCTTGCAAGCACGAGGACCTGAGTTTGATCCCCAGTACAAAAAAAAAAAAGTTCTTGAATTAATTCATTTTCCCTTCAATCAGAAAACATTTATCAAGCACGTATAATATTCCAGGCACTGGGAAGAAAGCAGTAAACAAAAGAAAAAAATTCCCAACCCCAGGGGAACTTCTTTGGAAGGAAGCAGTCAATGAATCGGCAGATACTGTATATACCATGCCGGGAGGTGGTCGGTGCTGTGAGAAGGACTGTAGCAGACTAAGGGGATTGGAACAGAAGAGAATGCTAAAGGTTAGCAAAGGGGCTGTCAAGTCGGAATATCTTCTTTAAATGACATTTGAACAGAGACTTGAAGGAAGGAAGGGACGGAGCCATGCCCATTTCTAGAACAACAGTTTGAGAGCTGCGGGAACAGTCAGTGAAAGACCTGAGGAAAGGAGGTGCTGGGCGAGCTTAAGAAAGTCCATCGGGGTGTGCGTGGCGCAAGTATTGGAATGAAGGAGAGCAGTGGGAATGGAGTCAGAGGAAGAGCAGGAAGCCCGATTGCGTGGGACCTTGTGGAGGCGTTGTGAAGACACCTTGCCTCTTAGTAGGAGGAGGTGAGAAGTCCCGAGGACTGGAACACTGACAAGAGGCTGACATGACCTGACCTTGACAGGACACCCTGCCTGCTGTGCAGAGAGGAAAGCACGGAGGGACAAGGCCAGGAAGGAGACGGACCCCTCAGGAGGCGATGACGCACATTCCAGTGGGAAGCTTTGGTAGCTTGGACTTGGTACCACTGGAGAGTAATGAGCAGGGGTTGCCTTTGGGGTGTGTTTCATAGGTGAAGCCAGCGTGATTTCCGAACGCATAGATGGATGGATGTGGACTGTGAAAAGGAATCTAGGGTATTTCCAAGGTTTTTGTACTTGGCAGTTAAAAGATCAGACCGAACTGTGGGAGAAGCAGGTCTGGTGGGAGTGTCAGAGTTGCAGCGATAATATGACAAGTTTGGGAAGTCTCTGTGAACCTGGAGGTCAGAAGCAGACTAGAACAGTGCTTACTCAGGGCAGAATTACCATTCCTCTGGCATCGAATGTCAGTTCTAGAAAATGATTAAGTCCTAGAGATCTGATGTATAGTATTGCACCATAGTTAACAATATTGAATTGTGTGCATAAAAATTTATTACAAGGGTTGGTTACAAAAACGAAGGAATCCCAGACCCTACCAGGGCTTAGGGAATCAGAATCCACATTGTTAATATGATCCGCAGGTATTTGCCGTGCGCTTCACAGTCTGAGGAGGCCTGACTTCATGACAGGAATTTGCTATATAAGCAGTCTGTAAGTAAGGTCGTGGCTGTATATTAAATACTGTATTATGTTGAATGTTCCCTGTATAGATTCATCACAGGTGTAATCTTAAAAATGAAAGTAAATTTAATGTAACTTCCGTCATTATTTTAATTTGTACTTTTCACAGCCCTTTGTAAAATCCCATAAAATGTCTCTATTTGGTGATTTATTTTTAAACTCTAGGACAAGAAAGAAATCAACATGAAGCTATAATTTAGGGAGTTCTGGGGATGCTGAGGCTCTATAAAACCCTAAAACAGGATGATATCACCAAGAGTGTGAATAAATGTAGGGAAGCAAAGTTGCCTGTGAACTCAGCATATGAATGTTCCAATGTTTAGAAGACAGGAAGAGAAAAAGAGAATTAGCAAAAAAAAAAAAAAATTGCTGAGACAAAGCAGCTAGTCAGGTAGGAGAACCAGGAGAGAGGTGCAGGGCGGATGCATGGGAGGGCAGGCAAAGGGATAAGCCCACTAGGGGAGCTCTGTTCACCCTTTGAGGGTCAGTCCAAACAAGGCTGAGTGTCAGGTTACCACCTCTTTGCAGGGTCCCTGTGAGGGTCATAAATAATGTAAGTAAACCATTTGTTGCAGCCAGCAAAGCAGCACAGAGAAAGTGCCCAGTAAGTACAGATTGAGTAGCTCTTACATAAAATGCTTAGGTCTGGATATGTTTTGGGTTTAGAATCATTTCGGATTTGGGAATATTCCCATCTGTATATAGCGTGATACCTCAGCAATGGACTGAATTCTAAACATGCAACTTTTTATGTATACAAGGGACACAATTTTATACAGTATTTTTAGTGTATCTACATTTGACCATGACCCATCACACAAGGTCAGTTTTCTCACCACATGTGGAATTTTCCATTTGTGGCAGGCATCATATGAGTGCCCAGAAAGTCTCAGATCTTGAGCATCTCAGGCTTTTGGGTTGGGAATACTCAACTTGTAATAGCTATTTTTTATTAGACAGTGAAACAGCTAGAAAGCCTAAGTGCAGTTTTTTTGTTTTTTGGTGTTTTGTTTTTTTTTTAGTAAGTACTAAAAATGCTACTACATTTAAAAGAAGGAAGAAATCTGCACAACTCAAGGTATTAAGGAAGGCTTTCTGGGAGAAAGAGAAAGTTGACAGGTTTTAAAATGGATTTTGAGGTGGGCAAGAAGCAACACTCATCATGCTAAGAGGAGTAAAAATTTAGACGCCTTTAGGATAGCCTGGCATGAAATTATTTGAGGTCTATTTTTTGTTGTTATTTTTACTTTATTGTTTGGAAACTAGTCTGTATTTTTAAGTTTAATATTTTTTGCTCTTATAAAGCTAAGCCCAGTAAACACTACAAGACCAAGCAGTCAGTGGTACGAGCCTCACGTACTGCAGCACCTCCAGCTAATGATGGTTTTCTCATTGTGCCATCAGGTTTTACCACCCTTGAGGGATGTCACAAACCGACCAGAAGTTGGCTCAACCGTGAGAAACAAGCTGGTGCGCCTCATGACACATGTTGACCTTGGCGTCAAGCAAATCGCTGCTGAATTCCTTTTTGTCCTTTGCAAAGAGAGAGGTAGGTCAAACTTACTACCCATGGCTTTTAGCTTTTCGAGGGAACTTGACACAATTTTCTGTTGGTAGTGGCCATCTTGCTCCATGCCTTCCAGAGCTACTGTTACATACTTTTGTTACTAGAGAAGCTGAGGTAATAAAAATTGATTTCAAAGTATTTTTATGTGCTTCTGAATTCATGAAGATGTGCAGAGACAGATACATTCCCAAACACAGCTTAAGCTTTGCCTCTGATGTCCTTAACCCAGACTTCTTAATCTTGATGTGCAGGACCTGGAGCTATTCTGAGAAGTCTGCCTGATAACTCAGGTGCTTCTGTTTGGATAACCAGGCATAGATACGAGTCAGTTTCTCTCATTCCCCTTGGAATTAAAGGCTCTCTTCTTCACCAGGTCCTTCAGTCATTAATTCTTGAACATAAGGTACATAATACACTGCAGAAATACAAAAAGGCATAAGCTATACCCCTTACCCTTGAAACAACAGTAACAGAGTAGTAGAGAACTTTTAAAAATAACTCTAGTACAATGTGATAAATGCTGCTGTATCAGTATATATAGTGAGTGTCTGCTGGGATAGATTTAACAGTTAATAAATTTCCTAAAATTGTATGAATCATTTGTTCAGTAGAAACCAAGTTCTCTAACAAAGAACTATAACTGAATTATTCAGGTATTTTCACCTATTGCTTCCCTAGTTCATGGTTGCCGTGGTAAAACAATTCCACCTAAGCAGAGTCTTTATTCCATTTTTTAAAGTACCCCAGTTTTTTGAGATAGACAATTTGAAGAGGAAAAGGTTTACTCCTGCCAAAATCTTAAGCCAATTGAGTTCTTATATTTTTGGCTAAATTAATCCAACCACTTAAGTTCTCGTTGAGATGGTATATTAGTAACATAATTTGATAATTATAATAATGTTGCTAAGCATAGATGTTATGGAATGAGATGTATCATGTGCCTGACAGTCTGTGAGTAACTCATTTAGTTCTCATAAGAACCCAGTAAGGTTAATGTTACTACTTCAGTTTCATCTGATCACTTCTTTGATGACTTCAAGAAAAGATTGATTTATCGTCTTGGAATTAAGTGGTTATTGTAGTGCCTTGGTATAATTTATAATTGTACATATTGGCTTAATGGAACCTTTTTCTGAGCTTTTTTTCAAAGTGTGTATATATACACAACTCTAAATCACATATATGCATCTGTTCATTTTAAAGTTTTGTTAAAATATATGCCAAAATATTATATTTTAAATAATATTAATAATATCTGATTTATACATATATATATATTTACTCTGAGTAGTAAAATTTCTGGTAGGTTATTTTTTCTTTTTAGTTCCCTGCATTACAATTTTTCTGCAGTGAACATACATTTCATGTACACTTCTTAAAAATTTTAAAAGGTCAAAATAAAGTTTATATCTTTTATGACTATATTTCTAAGCCTCTTATATGTAAATGCATATATATCTAACTACAGTCACCTTACTGATGAGTTTGGGTCATGACAGATACAGGATATGTATCTATAAGCAGATTTTGTTAACCTTTTCAAAAATTGGAGATGGTTAGCTTTGTGAAATTTTGTGTTTGTGGCTTTGAGCCCAAAAACAACCCATATCAGCAAAGTAATTTTTTTTATTTGAATGTTGACAGTTATATGTATAGTCATCTGATTTGCCTTCCAATTTGATTATAAGTTTATAGATGTATTACTTTGGAATAAATATTTATTCAGAAAATAATTTTTAAGCCAGGCTCTGAGATCACTGAAGTATGTAAGATCAGCAGGGTTTCTACCCTCATGTAACTTACTTTCGTATGCAAAGTTCACTGGCTCAAATGGCTGCAGCGGCCAGGCTGGCGGTAGAAGTCTGACTGAAAGCTGACATTTTCCGGCAGCTCCTTGTTGGGACTGTGGGAGGGGCAGGTGGACTTTGGGGAGCTGGAAAGAAGATGTTGCTGAGCTCCGCTGACTGGAGGTTACACGTGAAGGAGCGTGTGGCCGGTGCTACCGAATCTTGTAAGTTTTTCAAGAGAAGCTAGAATACTGACTTTTTACATAAAATCTTCCTGTTTTTCAATGTTTCCAATTAATTCAAATCTGAAACTTTTGGAAAAAAAAATCCATAGTCTACCTACAACTTAAAAGTCATCAGAGTTTGGAATTTAGATTTGGAGGTAGACTATGAAAATGAAATAAATTTCAGATAATTTGTGAGTGTGGCTAAACCTTAAAGGATGTGAAGATCTAAACTTCAAAGTAAAGCTTTGCAGGGCCTATAATCCCAGCCCTTGGGAGGCTGAGGTGGGAGGATGGCCATGAGTTTGAGGCCAGCGTGGCCTACACAGTGAGTTCAAGGCCAGCCCAAAGTATAGTAAGACCCAGTCTCAAAAAAAAAGAAAAAAAAGTGAAGGCACTAAAATATTGAATGTTCAAAGGTCAGACCACGAAATAGACCGTAAGCAACAATCAAACTGGATTAGGAGTACAGACTACATGAAGGAAATTGAGATGAGGAGAGATAAGAGAGCAAAATCTTACGGAAGATAAGCCCAGAAGGAATGTCCACGTGTCTCCCACTCCCACTCGTGTCAGGCTAACCCTGGTCTCCAGCTGGCCAAAGAGGCTGACTTGTACTTGTTCCTCTTACCCTGTTGAGTCTGGAAATAACTGAATTTTTTATCACCATTCTGCAAACTGTGTGCTATAGGGGCCTACAGATAGGCCTTTACATAACTTAATTTTTAAAAAATGGTTTATAACATAATCTCCTGCCTTGGTTGGTTTTCTTTCCCCTCTTTTAACACATTCACTAATTTCCAGTATGCGTTAGGCATTGCGGTAGGATTGGATTACAGAGAAGAGTCAGGCTTGAACTCCCACAGCCCCACCCTTACAAACTTACTCTCTTCTCCACACCAGTCTCAGAGGAATAGGTGCCTCTCTAGCGTGGAGCCAAGCATTCTCTCTTTCCTGTTTATCTTTTCTCTTCCTGCCTTCCCAGAAGTCATGTTTCACGAGTTGTTGTTTTTTATTCTTTTTTTTAAACTCTCTGTGAGCTGTCCACAACCTGTATATATTCTCGTATCACTGTCCTTACATTTTAGCATCTTGAAAGAGTAATGTTACTGTCTTCTCAGCCTTTGACTTGCTGCAAGTAGCACCTTGCTTCCAAATTCCAGTGATAGTGGAACTCGCTTTCCACTTCCATTCCTTATCCCCTGGAATCCAGTAAAAATGCTTCTCGGTAAAGTTGCAGACTACCTAACCTTCCAAAGCAGTGATTTTTTTTCTTTATCCTACTATATCTCTCACAACGCTTGACACTGTTGCCTACGCTCGATGTTTCTGTGCTTCCATGCAAGCTAGATGTCCCTGGACCTCTGTTCATGCTCTTCAGTTTCAATCGCTGACAAAGACGAGGATCTTTGTCCCTTAAGTCATCGCTGGCCCCCATTCTCACTTTCCATGGCTCTTTGAGTAATCTCATCCTTGGCGTCTGCTTCAGCCTCTTTGCTCAGTAGGTGCCCAAATCTGTGGGTCTCCAACCCTAAGCTTTCTTCTAAATCTATCATGTTCAGCCACCTGCTTGTGGACATCTGCATTTGAGTTTCTGATAGGTACCTCCAGCCCATGTCCAGAGTTGACCGTTACCCTTTGATCACTTTCCCTATGAAAGGCACCATTGCCTATTTAGTTGCTAAAGCCAGAAAACTAGATTACCCAAGATTCCTTTTTACCTATAGAACTAAATGTTACCTCCTGAATAATCTCTTTTTATATTCCTGCATTGGTACAGATCACTGCCTTGATACAGGTCCTTAAAGTTATTTCATAAACTATTAAAATAGTTAGATCTCTGTTTCTAGTTGGGGTTTCTTCAGTTTGTCTTCCCTATGGCTGACAGGGATTGTTCTAGAATACAGTGTTGTCATTCCTTGTAAAACCTCCAGCGATTCCGTCACCTGCTTGGTAAAGTCCACATCTCTCTCGCTTGGCTTTACCTCCGGGGTGTCCTGAATCTGCTTCCACATCGTGCTTCCTCATGGCCACTCGCCAGTCCCTAACGTCTTTCAGCTGCCATTCTCTGAAACTTCTCCGGCTTTGCTTTGTCCTTCTTGAGGTCAGCGAGCTCAGTTACAACAGTGTTTCAGCTGTGGCTCCATATAAGCTAGCGTGTTGTTTTCTATGATTGTCCTTGGAAGGACATTTCGATAACAATCTATTGAAGGCCTTAAGTAAATTTTGCCTGTTTTTATCTTTTGATTATATACTGGTGTTACCTGGAAATTGTACCTGAATAAAGGGAAGTACTCCTACATAAGGCTGATGATTACTGCTTAGTATCTTCCTTAATGGTATTTAAAAATCACCAGAAAAATCTCTACAGTGCAGGGTTCTTTCACAGAAGTTTCACGTATCAGCTCCTTTTAGAGCTATCACCACCGTATGCTGTTGGCAAGGTAATATTACTGAGGACCCGCACCAAATGCTTCCTTGGGTTCTCTTTCCTAAAATAATCATTTTACCAGTAGTACCAAAGAAAAAGAATAAGTGCTTATTTCGTACCAGATACCTTTGTTTTTTTTAAATTGCATGTATTATGAAGTAGAAAATTACTCACTGTTCCTACAGATTAGAAAGCTTAGGTAGAACTACAGAATATTTTATCCAAGGTCAGCTAGCTAGTAAGTGGTAGAGCTATTATTGAATCCTAGTTAGACTGACTCCTGGGCCTATCTTCTCAGTTAGTGGCATCATATGCTGCTGTATTACTGCTAACTTTTTCTTTTTTTGTAGCAGGTATTGAATTTGGGACCTTGTGCACACTGAGCTAAATCCCCTCCCTGCTAGCTTTTCAGAAGTTAGCTTATCCACATATGTAAATACCGGATACTGGTGTGAAAAACTAAAAGTATAAATAAGGATCAAAATGTATGAGTGATATTGTGAAATAGGAAGAAAATGTCTAAAGGAGTAGGGGAAGAGGAAGGAGTAGGGAAAGGAAAGAAGGGAAAAGAAAAAATATGAGAAAATGAAACACATGGAAACAAAGTCTTTGTAAACAGGGAAGGGTGGAGGGGGTGAAGGGAGGGCTGGGGAATGGGGGAAAATAAGAACCCAGACCTGTCGTGTAGAGGTGCAAGACCCCAGTGATGATGTAACTGTACTGTGTCCCTAAAATGTACCAATAAGCCTAATTAAAAAAAAGAAATGATGATAGAGGAGATTAAAAAAAAAAGTTATCCTATGGTCATCCTTAAATCTACTTCTTTCTTTTTTTTTTTTTTTTTTAACTGGGGATGGAACTCAGGACCTTGAGCTTGCAAGGCAAGTGCAGCACCACTGAGCTAAATCTCTGGCCCTCTACTTATTTCTTGTATCTTTTCCCCCTAATTTCTACAAATGGTAAAAGATTTTCCAATATATACCATCCTGGTAAAATCCTAATCTGACCTTCATTATCTTTAGCTTATTATTTCTGTAAAACTGAGTTTTAAAAAAAAGATTAGAGATCAGAAACTTAAAACATGACCTTTATCAATAGCCTGGCAGTGACAGAGGCCCAAGTGTTGCCAAAAACGTATTCAGAACAGCTATTTTTACGCTCTGCTATTGCCCCCTCCAACATACACAAGGCTCTGTGATCTCTGAACATGTAGAGCCCTTTGTAGTGACTCAGCATAACCGCACCACACTGGGCAGACCTCTGTGAAAGGCTTGCCCCGTGCGGGTGTGCCGGGCGGTGATGTCTGTGGGTACCCAGAGATCCCTGTCTAAACCCCTTCTATTTCCGCAGTGGACAGCCTGCTGAAATACACTGGCTATGGGAATGCCGCAGGACTGTTGGCTGCCAGGGGCCTCTTGGCTGGAGGAAGAGGAGATAATTGGTACTCAGAGGACGAGGACACAGACACTGAAGAATACAAAAATGCAAAACCAAAGTATAGTATCAAATTTCTCTTCGCCTAACTATAGCTATGCCTTTGAGTTGGTTATTTGCCTTTCACTTGTCTTTCATTTTCCAATGTTTCTTCTCATTGTGGATTTGGAAACTTACCCTTTAATGGTGTTTTTAGAGGTAGTTTCGTAGTTTTAACATGCTTGTTACCTCTTTCAAGTACTAAGAGAGTGGGTGGTTTTAGATATCTACTCTCTACCAAACACATACAATGTTTACGTTTTGCCTTCCTCTCCATAGGTTGAGCTTTTATAAGGTATAACCTAGGCCAAGTATTTAAGTTGGTTTTTTGATGATTTAGCCTTTCTCTGAAATCTAAATGTAATTTCCATACATTGGGAAAGACCCCCTGGCATAAAAGCCCTTACAAGTCAAAAGATAACAAACAAGGCATAATTACCAGCAAAATAGTAAGAAGTCTGGGTCCATATGAAATTTGAAGCAAACATACCTTAAGAGAATTAACTTTTAATGCATTGGTGCATCGAGTAGGCAAACTAGAAATTCTCTAAAGTCTTTTCTAAGTCTGCTTACAAAGGAAAGACACTAATTCTTCTCTTTTTTTCCCCAAGACAAACTCCCTCTCCTTCCTTCTGTCCTTCCCTTACTTCCATTCCCTCCCCGTCCTTATCATCTCCTTTAAACCTCGTCCCAGGTGAGTCTCGTGTTTTCCACTGTTAGGAGCTATTTGATCTCAGTTTTTGGGGGCTTCCACTACTGAATATTAAAAAGCTGTGCCCTTTCCTCTTGGCTTTTTCAGTGATGTTGATGTGCTGTGTTTCCTACTGATGGCTTCTCAAGTGAGATGTGGATCATGTGGTAGATGATCAAGGATAGAAAATCAACTAGGCTAAAAATGTTTAACCTAACAAACCAGAGGTGTGGGTGGGTGGGTGGGGCTTTATAGATTGTGCCCTGTTGACATGGAAGTAATAGGTTGTCAGAAGGTGAAAAAAATGACCCATCCCCCTGCAGGTGGGAAGTACACAGTCTGTTTCCTGGCACATTAGGTACTTGTAATGTCCTCAATGCTGTCAGCCTCAGCAGGAGCGTACAGAATGTGTCCTAGGAAAAAAGGCTTGGGGAAGAAAACTAGCAGTACCCTAACAACTGTTCTTAAGACTGCCACCACTTAGATGCTATAAACTAGGTACCTCTACCAAGTGTTTGAAACTAAGACAGAGGACTCCCGCTTCTTTCCCTAAGTCATGCTCTTACTCTTGCTCTTGATTTTTCTAGTCCATAAACTGTATTTTCTTATCAGTTTACTGTTTCCTATCTTATTTCACTTGAGACATGAAAGCATACCACTTAAACAGGACCCCTCCCCGGCTGTGATGGGGTCTCACTGTCTGCCCAGGCCAGTCTCAAACAGGTGGTGAAGCTGATCTTTCTGCATCAGCTTCCTGAGGAACTCTGAATGTAAGCACATGCTACCACACTCAGCTAAACTGCTGTATTTTTTTACATGGAGAGAGTACATCAGGTCTTCTTGGATTTTTTTTTTTTTTTCCCTCAGTACTGGGCATTGAACTCAGGACCTTGCACTTTTAAGGCAGAAAACTCGTGAGCACTCGGAGCTGGCCGGTCCCTTTGTGTCTCGGGGTGTACTGTTGGTGAGAATGGTCATGGTCACATGTCTGGCAAGTGCCAGAATGCTACTCTAACAAGAAAGAACTCAAAGAAAATGCAGGAACATGAGGTTTCTTCCAAGGAGGAAATCAAATTATGTTACATTATGAAAGTAATGTTATTTTGGGATAGCACCTTTTAAGTCAAAAACCATATTATTTAATATTGTTATTGTTTTGACTCTGTGATAGGAAGAGTCTATACTTAAACTTTGCATCTTGATTTAGAATCTGTTTTTAGCCATTGGATTTGACTTTGTTATTCATAGAAATGGTGTTAATGTGGTCAGAATAGTCACTATTGCAAAATCCCGTGTCTCTTAAACATTGCTTGTTCCAAGTAGAAATACATATTTTTCAAGTGGTGTCACGTCTCCCCTTCAGACAGATCCTCATCTTTCTCTGGAGGAATCTTTAATGTGTTACTGTAAAATACTGCTTCAGGCGGCCCCTACGGAAGCAGTGGGAAACAAAGTGTGCTGCGCAAGCGAGAACCCTCCTGTACTTGGGAGGGAGCCACACAACTCCAGGAATTCGCGAAAACTTTTTACTAATCTAGTCATGGTTATGATGTCGGCGTGTAAATGGATTGCTCCTCTCCTCCCACTGATTCCCCTTTCCCGGTCAGAGTATCCAGAGTACCCACTTTTCTAACGATGCCTTTATGCACAGCACTGTTGCTAGCATGGCAGAAGCAGAGAACTTTCCTTCATCCTGCTGTCCAGAATGTAAGTGGCTTCTGATGAATGCGCCACAGTAACCTATAATCCCTAATTGGAATCTAAAACTAAGAATTGTGTGAAGCTTACATTCAGGCTATGGGAGACAGTATCACAGCAGTCTTTTTTGTGTGGCAGTAAATGTATCTAATGGACTAGAAATGGCTTTCTGCAGTTAGCACATTTAGACAAAACACATTCATAGAATTGCATCCCACATAGGTTTTTGGTGTATGTCTAGTTAAGTTTGTTAGGTTTTCAGATGAAGTTTGGTCCTTCCTCGAGGAGAACTAAATACCTGAGTTCTAACTCGTACACCCTTTTCTTTTATGCCTCTGAGCATGGAGGCCCCTTGCACAGATGGTACAGATATGAATGACTGTTGTTTGTACCTCCTTCTGGGCATCAACTGAAAGATGTGTGTTTGATGACATTTGGCCCAGGCTTTTAGGCTGGTGCTCAGAGAGGCCTAGGGGTGCAGAGAAAGGGTTGTAAAAGGGGCTGCCTTATGGAGGTGGGGATGGGGGTAGCCAAAGGCCAGCAGAACCCTAAGACACTCCATACTGTTCATAATTACACCCAAAAGCTTAAAGTCATTGTCTGAGCAAACTTGAGTATTTCTTTCTTGACTGTGTTTAGCAGCTGTGGCTATGGCAGCAACTATATGGTTTCTTTAGCACAAGGCAAGATACTTTTTTCCCCTTTATTGTCAAGATTTTGTTATGCTACTTAAGTCAAGTTCCATTCGTTTTCTTGTTATACTGGGACTGTATAATTTCTTCATTTTTAATATTTCATGAAATATGTACCAGAAACCAGGACTTGAAGATTTTTCTCTTTGTCCAGTTTGAGCTGCAGTAGTGTATTTTGTGTAATAGAATTTAACCAGCATTTCTAAGAACTGGAACTTACTACTGTGAGCATTCAGACTGCTTAAATTCAGATAAAAGAGCAGAGTTGAAAATAAAATCATCACCACTTCTGCCATGCATACCGATCCTGTGAGTTTACCAGCCCTGTGATATTTACAGTTGTATTAGCAGCATACTTTCAGAATTGGGTTCTCTGAATTCTCTCTTTGTGTTACACTTTGACTTAATGGCCAGTTAGCAGTCAGATGTGTTAGCTGATCCACAGGGCTGAGTTTTGCTGTAGTTTTCATTTTCTGTGGCTTCACAGCCATCAGCTTTCTGTGCTTTTATGTCAGTGATACCACTCTTAATAAGTAGCCTAAAAAGAAACATTTTAGAAGTTCTACAATTTAAAAGGTCGTTTTGGTACTTTTTTATCACTTAGATGCATCTTGATATTCATGTATGTGTATATGTGTGGCTGATACATGATATTTAGTAAATATCTGATAAATAAGTGAAAGAATGATACCACATTACCTAGTTCTTTCTATTGCAATGCAAAGGATTATATGGATTAGGATGTAGTTTCATAATTGATCTTACTTCTTTAATATAGAATCAGTGTAATGTTTATAGATTAATTCTTAATTTGCCTGGGACATTTTTAGGAATTGGTATCTCTTCACCATATCTTGTGTCTGAATTTAATTATACCAAACTCCACAAAACTCCTGAATCTTGTGTGGCTTCTTCAGTTAATAAGATTGTATGTGCATCTCCATAGTGAATGGAGAAAATCACTTCCTGGATTATATGAGATCTTTGATGCTTATTTCTTAGCAAGTGCCTCAGCTATGCTAATTTCTGGTATTTATTGAGTGCTTAATATGTACCAGACACGGTTCTAAGAATTTTACAAATATCTAATGTTCACAGCAGCTCTTTGAGGTCGGTTTTATCCCTGTTTCACAGTTGAGGAAATTAAAGCTCAGTGAAGTGAAGTAACTGAACCAGGGCAAACGGTTCAGAAGTGTCAGAGTCGGGGAGCCTGACTCTGCAGCTTGTGATGTTTGGGAAATTTGTTAGTTTTTGAGAGCATCAAGTCAAGTTTTATTGTGCTCTGCATTCTGCCTTATTTTAGGGGTGAAACACATCAAACAAATATTCCATTTGAAATGTAACGACGAGTGGCATTGACACTGTTGGGCTGCCTTCACCACTGTCTCCGGAACTTCTCCATCTTCCGCAGCAGAGTTCTCTGCCTGTTGTCCCTCCTTCTGTCCTCTGGTAACCACCGTTCTTTTTGTCCCTAGGAAACCTAGAAACCTTGTGCACTTGGGATCGTACACATAGTGTTTGTCCTTTTGAGACTGGCTGGTTTTACTGAGAGTACTGTCGGATCGTCCGTTTTGTAGTGTCTCGGGACTGAACGCTATTGCCTGGTGTGTCTGCACCACATGTGTGGTCTGTCTGTTCACCCATCGGGGGACACTGGACGGATTCCGCTCCGGCTGCTGTGAATCAGCTGGATTGTTTTCACTTCTCTCGGGACTCTACTCAGAAGTGGAAATGCCTGGACCACGCGGTCTTCAGAGCTGTCCAGTTTTTGAGGAGCTGCCATGTCGTTGTACGTGGCACGTGCTATTTTACATTCCCTCCGAGTGCACAGGAGCTCCTTTCTTCTGCATCCTCACAGGACTTGTTATTTCTGGAGAGGGTGTGTGTGTGTGTTTTCCACAGTAGCCATGACAGTGATGTGAACTCAGGGCTTCAGACGTG